TAGCCCCATAGGGATTCTCTGCGGGCACCGGGACTCCGTCCTTGAAGGACAAGCGGTGGTGTATGCATTGTGGTCGTGTCTGTAAAGGCCGCACCGCATACTTATCCCTATTCCCCCTGTACGGCTGCGATGTCGTGACAACGAGGAAATTATCCTCATTACCGACACCTGCAACTAACTCGTCTGCAATCGACGCAGCTTTGTCGATTGAGGAGTCCTCCAGCAAAGCCGTTACCGTCGGTTGGACGTGACGTGGCAACGACTCGAGCCACAGCTCTCTGACGCTGTCAGAGTGGGCGTTTGTTGGGCCGGCTAACGTGCATGGACGCGCCAGATGCCTGCTTGGCGTCGTGTCATCAGTTGGGTGACGAGCCAGCAACTGGCGTAACCTTTCCCCGTTACAAGAGGAGTAGAACTGAAGGATCGCAGCCTTCAGAACGTCGTACGTTTTCTCCTCCGGCGGTTTAAGAAGAATATCCCTAATGGCAAAAATTCGGTCGCAAGGGATTGCCTCTACCGCGAAAACGTATTTGGAGCGCTGGTTCCGCACGTTACGGTCGATAAACTGAGTTTCTAACGCAGCACACCATGCCTCAGGGTAGTGAGGGATGAAAGCTACGGGCTTCAAACTAACAGCCGATAGGTCCACTTCCCTATCGTCTACTGGTGGACGCTCCTCAGTCATGGTACAATTGCGATAAATAATTATATCGTGCAATTGAAAATGAACCGTGAGAAACAAGTGCAAACCAAATTGGATTTGACTTACAAAGTGGACGTTGTGGGCTCATCAATGTAGCTAACCGGCGTTGAGGGCCTGCCGATAAGTCTTCTTACGAATCTCAAATTGCGCGCGACCTCCTAGTGTCTCGTCGCCCGAGGTAAACAAAAACACTCGTGGGAGTCGTAGACGTTTATTGGCGAATCGTGGTACTAGATAGTACGAAACGTGCAGAGGTGACGTTAAACAATGCAGTAGCAAAGCGCAAGCGTGTCACATGTGTTGCGTGGGTTTGAACAGGACCCAGCTTATATATACACCTGAGCGGAAAACCGTGCTCAGTGAAACAAGCAGAAGTAAAACAAAGAAGTATCACAGTTGGAGTCAGAGTTGATTGTGAAGAAAATATGAACGGAAGACGTCCTCGTGGATTGCTCCTTTTCTTCGTACAATCATAGTCACTACAAATCGTCCTAAAGCAGCATACGTTGACCAAAACGTTATTCACGCTAACACTAGACTTGCTGCTAATCCCTCAACCTCTGAACGAGACACCAGTATCACAATCAGACTTGAATTATTCTCCCGCTGCACCAACTTTAGACAAAGCATCTGCTTCACGTCTTAACTGGCAGCCTCCACAACTTGCCACGACTCCGAATGTGGTTTCACCTTCACATTCGAGTCGGCAATCACCACTCCCTGCCAAGGTTTTGGATGAGGCACTCGCTTCACTTTCATACTGGCACAGCGGTTCCGACTTCGGATGTGACCCCGGTTTCATGTCCAAGTCAACCCGATGCAGCTTTATCCCGACCATCATAGGTGAATTCCGTCTCATGTTCTGGTCGAAGAATCGTTTCGCCGGCACGTTTTCGAACGCAGGGGAAACTCGATCCTGAAACATTGCACATTGCACAGCAACACCATTACATCGACTAATATGACGAGTTATACTTGATATTTGTTTAGCATTTTTATTACTGTTTGGTACTGGAAGTGTACGCATTTGCTTATGTGCGGTTGCTACACCACGTGTTTCTTTTTTTCATTTTCATATTCATCGAGCACATATGTGCCCTGGCTACTGCATTTATGGTCCAACGTATTCTGTACGAATTCTGGTTCCACATTTGCTGCCACCGACTCAGCAGGTTATCCACGAATCCAACGGTATGCCCTTTCAACCACGTGTGATTCCTCGGTACCTTGGCTCGGGCGTGGCACGCCAACTGGTCAACCCAGAACGCAATTCTCGCTGGTATTCTTTTCCGATCCCAATCACGGCAACGTGTCTGACTCGACATTGAGTACCTTTACTCTCTCGTTCCACTACCCTCGATGCTGCCCCGACCGAGAACACTACGTACCTACTGCGAACTTTTGTGAACATCATGCACCTTAGCACAGTACCACTTTTGTCTTGCCAGTACCGATAGTTGTTTCACACTTTCTAGCGGGGGGCTGCTGTAGCGTGGTCGATTGTACGGTAAAAGCCGGAATATATCAGACTTTTGCGGGACATCATTTTTCCTCTACAATCAAATGTATGTTCACATGTTCACTTTAGTAACAACGCCATGTAACGTTTGTTTTATGCGATTGAAAACTGCTGCATCCTTCCGCGTAGGAGACTTTCAATTTTCGCTTTCGCTTCATTTTGTACGTTATTGCGCTCGTTGGTTCTTGTGCCTTAGTGCTTTAACGCAAACTCCCATTAGCCGGTACCGGTACTTTCTCCGTGCCATGGTACCTCAATAAACGTTTACAACAACCACAAGTCTTCTGATTTAACCAGCGGTAACGTGGTTGGTTTACGAGCTCGGGGTTCCCGTTCTGAAGTGCGTCACGGCGTTGACGTTTCTTCACCGGTATCTGGTTGTTAAGCCACAAAGTATAAATAAATGCAATTTAAAATTATATGAACGGAAGCAGATCCGTAAAAATAAATGTGCGGATAAGTAACTAAAAACGTGACCTAGAGAAAATTAAAGATTCTCTGAAAACACTTCCAACGTATATAAAATTTACGAGGTTTCACCAATTTGTATGCGCTGACTTGTCTTTACACCAGGATAATACGTCTATATCGCAAAAGAGCGTTCGTGATAAAGCAGAACGAGACAGTTCACGAAACGGATGACGGCTGTATTGTATAAACTTGCAGAACCAAAAGAGGAGATGCGGAGGCGTGAGTAAGCTTGCAGAAAGGGAAAGGAAACGCAATGGGCAAAGAAGTGGACTTGGTGCGGTAAAACAATGAGATGCAAGGGAGGAAGCGCACATGTAGAATGGGAGGTAGTTTGTATCACTACAAAATTATAACAGAAAGTAATATCGTGGTGAGAGTCAAAACGAATTGAGAAGAACATAAACATAAACATAAAAGCATAAACATATAATGTCCTCGTGGATTGCTGATTTTCGTCATGCAATCATCGGCACTACGGAACCTCAGTCCTTCTAGAGTTTTTGGAGTTCCTCCACAAATTTTGTAGTTGAAGTAGCTTCAAAGAGAAGGGAAGTTCTAGTGCACAGCATTCGTTACCTTTAAGCACTAGCAAAGGATCACAACCCGAAGGTCACTTGCATCTTACAAAGCTGTATTGATAGCAAGCCTAGTTGCCGTCGAAAAGGTAGGATGGCGTTCCACTTCCAATCTGCATAATTGAGTGCCCCGGAAAAGCTTCGGTTTTTTCTCTGTATGAGACGGTTTAGACAGCTCAAATCGTCACCGGTGTCCGGGTGGCTAACTCGTCTGCTCGTCCTTAAGAATAAGTGCTTAGAGGTGATTGGGGACCCAGTTGACGAATTTGAAGGAAACCTGAAAGCGAAGAAAGGGCTTGAAGACATTTAAATGAAACGCTAAGCGAATAATACCGCTATTGAGGTTTTAGCTTGGGCCAATACCCCCTTTCATATCAACGTCTTTTTGGTGGTTATCTTTACAAAGTAAGACCCATAGGTCGTTTAATCGATGTATGACGAGATTTTCGCATAATGAAAATACTTATGAACAAATACGACAAGCAACACAATGGAGATAGATTAGAAGTAAACAGCAGGCAAAGATAGAATGAAGCACACAAACGAACAGCAAAATGATAATGGCGGCCCGCCATTCATACCACTTGGGATCAATTCAAACAAACAGTTAGTTCGGAAGGATACCATGTAGATAAATATGACAACTATTGGCTGGAAAGCGTTTATGTTTTTTTTAATCTTGTAAACGTACACTTCGGCTTATATAGGTCTTATTTAGAATGTGCAAATAGGCAAAGTATTGAAAATCGGTTCTCGTAGCTCGGGTGAACTGAATTCTATTTCGCTTGTTCGCCGTGCTTGGCAATTTGTTTGCAAACGTTTCATCACCAGCCAAGGTAACATCATCAGTGCTTGTGAAGTGGCTGGTGGTGAAACGTTTGCAAACAAATTGCCAAGTTCGGCGAACAGGCAAAATAGAAAGTGCAAATTCTGGAGCACTCTGAGAGCACAAAGTGTGACGCTGTATTGACAGGGTGTGATAATCTGTACTTGGTATCAGGAATTGAATCGCAATAATCGGCGCAATTAA